ACATTGGTAAATAATAAAATAACTTCACATATCACCTGTAGTTCCCATCAATATTTATAACCCCAGACCACAAAATATTTTGACTTAAGCTCCTAAACTCCCCCACACGCCCTTACAAGTGTTTATGGTCCCAATGTTTTAACACAACTAAAATTAAGAATTAACCTTATTAATCTCCACGGTCTTTGTTGAAATGTTAAAACGTCACTTCCGGAAACAACACTTAAATACACCTTGGCATCGCAGTATCAGTCAGAACTGCGTGTTTTTGCTGACAAGTTGGCCAGTTATATATCGTTGTTCTGTAGACTGCAACCTTGGCGTTTTTTCACAGCAAAAATCTAGTTCAGGTGGGTATATTAATTTTAAACATTGTCAGATTCATTGATTGCAAATAATTATGTTTCAAGTTCGATTTTGCTTCACATCCATGTACTTGAACGGGACGATCCGCTTACAAGGCGTATCCTGCAGTAACCTCGGTTGTCGTTGATTGATAGGCTGCAATATCACAAACACTTGTACATGTATTATTATACAACATTGACTGTCAGACTTGTTTGTTTGTGATCTCGGGGTCAAGTTTAGGGTTGGGCGTTCAACTCCTTGTACACAAGTATTGTTTATAGTTTCAACGCTGTCTCTGTGGCACATATCTTTCAATTGTTCTTGGTCTGTTAGTTCCACGTGTTGTTGTCTTTTTTTTTTCGAAGGACCACTATCATATAACCTTACAATATTGCGTCAAATTACTGGTAACCCCATGCGTAGTTTTGTCCATGGTTCCTCTAGTTCGTCGGGTTATTCACGGACACTAAACAACCATTCCACTTTTAACCACCAATATAATACAGTGAAAACCATAGAATAATGTAAATATGTAAATAGAAGTCTGTAGGTAGTCAACAATATTTAGAAGCAAAATAGGAAATATTTTTTCTAATTTTATAACATCAAGAGCAATCTCAATGGCAATATCTTAGTGGTTCATAGTTAAAGAAGCCTCACATTTCAATGAGTTTTCATGTACAGATCTCCAACTGTGATCTTTTGATACCAGTGTTATGATTCATATCTTGCCCATTATCAAAACTATCTAATGTGCTGTAGCACATGGAACATGTATCATACATGGAATATAAAGTGGGATATCCCAGGGACCTTTTCATGAAGCTTTTGCCGTAAACTGCCAAGATTACAAAAAAAAATTTAAACAGATTTAAAAACTATTTCTGCCATATGTATCCTTTTCAAAAACCTAAACTCTCTGAAACAATCCTAATGAAAGTAGTAGTGTTGCAGGTGTGAGGGGAATAACTCATTGAGGCTTGGGGGGGGGGGCAGACATAGTATGTTTAACTTTAAGTTCGGTATTTTTAAAATAATGAGTTTTGATGTCTTCACGCTTGAATAAGTTAATTAGCAAAAGTGTTTATTGTACCTATGCACGGAATGGTACCGGTACAGGTAGTAACAATTCATTGTGTTCAACTGACACTTTACATTGAAGTGACATGAATAGAATTTCTCGCCCAAATTATTTTGCACTTTTTTCTTATTTTCTTCGATATTTCTGGAAATGAACTCTAATTCTGGAGCCAACAGACAAAATTTGAGTCAGTTTTAAGTTTTAACTCAAACAAATTTGGCTATTTTTGTTCCAATCATCTGAAGGAGAGTACAGACTATAAACAGGACTATTTTGTGAATTTGTGATGAAAAGAGTAACTGATGGTGAAAAGGGTAGTACCTCAAGGGTCAATCACAATAGACTTTGGTGTTATTTAATCTGCATTTTAATTTTTGTTGTTGAAAAACACGTGCTAAATTTTGATGTAATGCAGCTTTTTCACATAACTTCCAAATGTAAAACACTTACTTATCAATATCATTGATTGATATATTCAATTTTATATAGTTTGACAGTAGTAGGCCTGCCATGTCTGGTATATTAATATTAAATAAATAAATTAAGTTATTTTATCCAGTTGATACTAAACTATCAGCAACAGGGGGGGGGGGGGGGGTTCATTGGCAGTTCAGTTTGAGTTACAAATGGCATCACAAAGCATTACATCTATCATCTTATATTAATTCACATAGATAGTCAATTGGCCAAACAAAAAGTAAACAATAAACATAAATTAACAGCTTTGACCTTAAAATATTTACCCTCAGTTAATTGCATTCAGTATTGGGTGTCACAAATTAATAAATAAAGTAACCCTACACTTCATTTCA